CTGTGCCTGGCCTGATCTGTTTTAAAGAGAGATAACCTCCTTGTGTTAAACAAGTCAGCCTAACCACTTGAGATGGATAAGTTCAGTGTTTACATTTGTGTTCATCTACTGAAAAACTACCTAGAATTTTACAAATCTGCATTGTCAAAGAGGGTATTAGAAAATTATAGGAACTTATGCAGTAAAATCTCTATTTAGGAACTTAAGGATCAAATTGTAATTTTGGAATCAAATAGATACCCCATCTATTAAAGAATGGCTAATGGAAAATTTAACATGCTAATCAAACGTTTGAAAAATTGCCTTGGCTGGGCATGGTGGCTCACGCCTGTAATCCAAGCACTTTGGAGGCCAAGGGTTAGAGGGTTAGTAACATTTGAATTAATAAAATAAATATGTGGTTTTCATTTCAGTGAATATTTCTTTTTTTTGCTGTTCTTATTTCATTGAGAACCTCCTTGCTTGTTAGGATTTATTACACTTTATTTCAACACAATGTTATACTTGTAATACCTATAATGGAAATGAAATACTTTATAAAAACTAGTGAATGCATTATAAGGATATGCAAATAGAGTGAAAGAACTGCAAAGGAAATTCTGCAGAACATATTTTTATTTCTTCAAAGGTAGCTATAGAAGTACTGCTGGATTAGATATTTTCAGTTGAAAATAACAAATTCTGTGGAAACTAACAAAATATAAAGGTAGTTTATTTGTTTGTTTATCTCGAAATCCAAAGACAGGGAAGACTTCTGGCAAAAATTGATCCAGAGGCTCTAAGATGTCATCAGTAATCTTTGTTGTTATAATGTTGTGTTGTTTTACTTTGTATTCTCAACTTCCTAGAGCGACTCTGTCCAATAGGAATATAATGCATGTCACATTTTAAAATTTAATATCCTACATTTTATGAAATGAAACAGATGAAATTAATTTTTTTAAAAAGAGATACGGTCTTGGTGTATTGTCCAGGGTGGAGTGCAGTGGCTATGTTCACAGGTGTATGAGAGTTTTGACCTGCTCTGTTTCTAACTGGGCTGGATCACTCCTCATTGGGCAACTTGGGTGGTTCCCCACTCCTTGGAGTGGTCACCTTATTGATGCCATGCTTAGTGGGGGCACTTGGTCAGCTAACACTATGGCATGGAACACCTGTGTTCAAGTGATTCTCTTGCCTCAGCCTCCTGAGTAGCTAGAACTGTAGGCATGTGCCACTGTGCCTGGCAAAATTAATTTTAGTAACAGTTTTCATTTAACTCAGTATTTCCAAAATACTACATTTCACATGGAATTAGTATAAAAATCGTGGCATTTTACATTCCTTTTTATACTAAGTCTTCAAAATTGGTGTTTTACAACACATCTCAATTCAGACTAGCCAGATTTCAAAGGCCCAGTAACCACATGTGGCCAGTAGCTACTGTTTTGGACAGCAGTTTTACTTTACACTTTGTCTTAAGGCTGGCTCTCATTTTCTCAAGTTGGCCACTGTAGTCAGCAGATTTATGTGTTTTCTTGTTCATATCTTTAAGAAAGAAGACAGCATGTTTTCAGTATCTCCCCTTTAATAAGGGGAAATTTTTCTCCAAAACCTCTCTGCAGATGTCACCATGAGTTTTGTTGTTTGTGCTGGGCCTTCTGATCATCCATGATTCCTTCTGTTGTAACTGGGAGGATGAGATGTACTGAATGATATGTGACAATCAGGAATCACCCGTGGGGTATAACCCTGGATCACAAATCCTGTGTGATTCATGAAGAGTTTTTCTCCAGTGCCTTGTTTTAGAAGTTTTATAGTTTTAGGTTTTCCATGTAAGTCTGTGGCCCAGTTTGAGTTAATGTTTATAGAATATTTGAGGTATGAATCAAGGTTTACTTTTTTTGAATGTAGATTTCCATGTGTTCTAGCTCCATTTATTGAAACAGGCTATCCTTTTTTCATTGAATTGCCTTTGCACCTTTGTCAAATATTAATTGACCATACTCGTGTGAGTCTTACTGGACTTTCTATCATTCTGTTCTATTCTATCTGTCCGTCCCTTTTGTACTAATACATGATCTTCATTACTGTATTGTAAGTCTTACAGTTACTTAATATAAGTCTTCCGACTTTGCTTTTTTTTTTTTCTAAATTGTTTTAACTATTCTCATTCATTGGCCTTTCCATACAGATATTAGAATAAGCTTGTTAGGCAGAGGTGGGAGAATAGCTTGAGCCCAGGAGTTCAAGACCAGCCTGGGCAATAGAGTGAGACTTTGTCTCTACAAAATATAAAAATTAGCCAAACTTGGTGAGGTGTGCCTGTAGTCCCAGCTACTCAGGAGGGTTAGATGAGCCCAGCAGGCAGATGCTAGAGTGAGCAGAGATGATATCACTGCACTCCAGCCTGGGTGACAGAGCAAGACCCTGTCTCAAAAACAAAACAAAACAAGAATTAGCTTATTAATATACCAAAAGTTCTTCTCAAATTTTTATTGGGATTGTGTTGGCTGTTAGAGCAATTTGGGGAGAGTTCACATCTTAGCAATATTAAGTCTTCTGGTCCATGAACACTGTATAGCTCTCCATTTATTTAGATCATCTTTGATTTTTTCCTGTCAATATTTTTGTTTTCAGCATACAGATTCTTCATCTATTTTGTTAGACTTATGCTTAAATATTTTATCATTTTGGTGCTATTATAAATGTATGTTTTTATTAGATTGTTAGTTCATTGTTAATATGTACAAATGTAATTGATTTTTGTATATTATCTTTGTATCTTATAGCCTTGCTAAATTCATGTTAGTTTGAAGAGTTTTTTTCCAGAAACCTTAAGATTTTCTATGTGATAATCTTATTGTGTATAAATAGCAAAGGTTTTACTTTTTTCTTTCCATCTCTACTCTTTTTTTTTCCTTAGTATATTATACTGACTAAGACTTTTCGTATGATATTGCATAGGAGTGGTTAGAGTGGACAGACTTGCCGGTTTTCAGTGTTAAGGTAAAAGCATTTTATCTTTCATTATTGAAAATGATCTTAACTCTAGGGTTTCCATGGATGCCATTTACCAGTTTAAGAGAGTTCTGTTTCTAGTTTGCTCCAAGTTTTGCTCATGAATAAGATATTATATTAACTTTTATCAATTGCTCTTTCTTTATATTTTCTTATTTAGTCTGTGGTTTTGGTGAATTACATTGATTGATTTTTGAATACTGAATAAACCTTGCATAGTGTATCCTTCTTTTCATATATTGCTGGATTCAGTTGGATACTGTTTTGTTTAGGATTTTTTCATCTGTGTTCATGAGGGATATTAGTTTGTAGTTTTCCTGTCTTATAATTTAATTTTCTGACTTTTGTATTAGGATAATGCTGATCTTATAAAATGATTTGGGAAATTCTTTCTCCTCCTATATTTTCTGGAAGAGATTGAGTAGGATTGGCATTATTCATTTGAATATTTGGTCAAATTTGCCAGTGAAACTATCCAGGCCTGCAGTTTTCTTGGTTATGATGTTTTTATACTATGAACTCAGTTTCCTTAAGAGCTATTCAACTATTCTTGTTATTTCTTTTGATAGTGTATGTATTCGAGGAGCTGGTCCATTTCATCTAAGTTACTAAATTTATGGACATAAAGTTTTTTATAGTACTACTTGATACTTTTAACCTCTATAGAGTCTCTAGCGATGTTCCCTCTTTCATTATCAAAAAAATCATAACTGATGAAATGTTTGTGATTTATTTGAGTTTACAAACATCATTTTACCACCAGCACACAAAGTTTAAGTGCTTCCCACCTTTCATTTAAAATAAGTATCTTAAAGTAGTAAGAATCACTGTCATCAAAGGCATAGTCATTTTCTGGAACATGAATAAGCAAGTAAGGTCTGCTGCTATTTATGATATTATCAAAGTTGTTTATACACCTGTATTCAATGAAAACTACTAAAATAATCCAGTTTTAAAAACAGCAGAAACTTCTGAAGACATTATCCAAATACTATAGCAATTTTTAAAGCATTTCTTTGTACTATCAATTCTAAATAGAAAAATTAGGGAATTAAAAAATGGGAAGTTCTTTTTCTTGAGGAAAACAGAGAGGAAAGTGACATTGCTCAGTGTTGATATCATGAATTTTTCTTCACTGGTGAGGGATTAACCCAGTAACAGATAGAGTTAGCCTTCTAACTGTATACTGTGTTTTTGACTGTGTCTTTGTTTGTGGAGAATTGGTTCCAGGACTCCCTTTGGCTACCAAAATCTGCTGATGTTCAAGTCCCTTAGATGGCCCTTCTATATCCAAAGGTTCTGTATCTGCAGATTTAACCAACCATGGATGGAAAACACTGTATTTATTTCAGTATTTATTGTACTACAGCCAGCACAGTACTGATTTTCATATAATTTAATTCTCTGGCTTTTTTATTGGGATAATTTTGACCTCATAAAATGATTTGGGAAATGTTTTCTTCCCTTTTATTTTCTGGAAGAAATTGAGTAGAATTGACATTATTTCTTTATTGAATATTTGGTCTGTACTTATCTTAGTATTTATTGCATTACAGATAGCAAAATAGCAAATACTGTATTTTCAATCCATAGTTGATTGAATCCTCAGATTTAAAACTCATGGATAGGGAGGGCCAGCTGTATAGGCAAAAGATGTAGGGTGTCCACAACCTGAATGACCTGTTTATGATTTTTGATGTCATAGCAACACACATACCCACACACATTTTTTTTTTTTTTGAGACGGAGTTTCGCTCTTGTTACCCAGGCTGGAGTGCAATGGCGCGATCTCGGCTCACCGCAACCTCCGCCTCCTGGGTCCAGGCAATTCTCCTGCCTCAGCCTCCTCAGTAGCTGGGATTACAGACATGCGCCACTATGCCCAGCTAATGTTTTTTGTATTTTTAGTAGAGACGGGGGTTTCACCATGTTGACCAGGATGGTCTCGATCTCTTGACCTCGTGATCCACCCGCCTCGGCCTCCCAAAGTGCTGGGATTACAGGCTTGAGCCACCGCGCCCGGCCACCCACACACATTTTTATATTCTTTTGGCAAAATCCATTTCCTTGCAAGGTAGTATATAATTTGAATTTTATAAATCAAATTTTGTTGCACATGCCCTAAGCATGAACAAGCAAAGCTATAACAATAAAATCTTATTTTAAATTCTTTTGTGAAATGAATACTTAGAGATCAATGTTAAACCTTAATTTTAAAATGAAAGCCATAGTCAAAAAGATATTTCAAATGCTAGGTATTATAAAGAATAAGCAAAGTTTTGTGTGTGTGTATGTGTTTTTTTCCAGCAACTAGGCCTTATAGGTGTATTGTACACATAGCTGGCTTTTGAATAAACAAGAACATTTATTTTGACAGATACAGCAGTTTTTTTCTATACTTCTTCCAGGATTTTACATCAACCAGGTAAACTTGCCAAACAGCCCAGTTTCAAATTTATACTTAACCTTTTACTTATATTCATTATTTATTAGCTCCAGATACCATTTACTAACTTGTGCCTCTCTGCATCAAATTTGTTAACCTGTATTATTAACGCATTTATCAAATCACTATTGAGTTCCTGCTATGAACACGGTCCTGTGGTAGGGTCTTGGAATATAGGTGTGAATAATACAGTTGGTCATCCAAACTCAGAAGCCCTTCATATTTGCTTACAAATTAAAACCCTAGGCAGTATTTGCCTGACGTTTAAATATATTATTGTGTTTTATTATGAGAATTTTTTGTGTTGCCGTAATGGAAACAATGTAACTGTGAAGACATTATATGATTAGATTATCTTACGAGATTTACCTTTTTTTTTTGTGATGGAGTCTCGCTCTGTATTCCAGGCTGGAGTGCAGTGGCGTGATCTCAGCTCACTGCGACCGCCGCCTCCTAGGTTCAATCGATTCTCCTGGCTCAGCCTCCTGAGTAGCTGGGATTACAGGCGCCTGCCACCATGCCTGGCTAATTTTTGTATTTTTTTTTTAGTAGAGACGGGATTTCACCATTTTGGTCAGGCTGGTGTCAGACTCCTGACCTCGTGATCCACCTGCCTCGGACTCCCAATGTGCTGGGATTACAGGCATGAGCCACCGTCACCGGCCTGAGATTTATCTTTTTAAATGAATCTCTATAAGCATGTGTTCACTTATGCATTATGCCCTCATGCCCAAATATTTCCTCAAAGAAGTTAATGGACGTTTATTGAGTACCTACTGTGCTGGAGACTGGGGTTAGGTTTACTGTCTGATGATGGAGTGTGAACATAAATGAGCCCAGCAGTATGATTGTTGCCATAATAGAAACATGCTCAAAGTGGTATAGAAGGAAAGTGCTTAATCTGCCTTGATTTTTGAGAGGGAAGTATCAGAAAAGGATACTGGTCTGTCTTTTGAGAGACCAGACGTTCTATAAAATGAGTGGATGAAATAATCATAATGGATAAGCTAGGGTAAATGAAATTAAGTAGAGATTTATGTTGTTTTACTTTATATCTGAGTTAAAGAATAACTTACTCTAACATAAACTAGACAAAAAAATTTAAGAAAACTTTTATGGATTCCGGAATAATTTGTAATAAGTGGTACTAAATGCATGATAACATTATAATACAAATAAATCTTTACAACAAACATTTCCTAAACATTTAGAATTATACAGTGGCTCAACCGATTTGGCTGAGCACTTTGGGAGGCCAAGGCAAGTGGATCATTTGAGGTCAGGAATTCAAGACTAGCTGGACCAACGTGGTGAAACCCCATCTATAGTAAAAATACAAAAATTAGCCAGGCAGTGGTGGCATGTGCCGGCAAACCCAGCTAATCGGAAGGCTGAGGCAGGAGAATCACTTGAGCCTCGGAGGCAGAGGTTGTGGTGAGCTGAGATTGCACCACTGCACTCCATTCTGGGCGACAGAGTAAGACCCTGTCTTAATCATACCTAAACCAAATATATTTCCATAGACCCTTGGCCATCACCTGATATCAGGAAGACGGAGTATGACCTTTTATTTTTAGTTTGTTGTGCAGTGAATAATGCTGTATAAAGGAAACCTATGGACTTGGGAAATATTTTAATAAAGTTTCTCTACATGTAAGTAAAATGGGCAAGAATGAATACTACCAATAGTACCACAAAGTATTAGTAGATATGGTTGACCAAATGAACCAACATGATTAGGAGATGCTTTAATGATGGCTTTGATCACTCCATATGTTTCATTCATTCATTCAGTGTTGCAATAACTGCAAAATCACTCCAAAATATACATCCTCATTTGAAGTATAAAACACATACCGCTGGGCACGGTGGCACGTGCCTGTAATCCCAGCTACTCGGGAGGCTGAGGTTGGAGGATCTCTTGAGTCCAGGAGTTCTGGGCTGTAGTGCGCTATGCCGATTGAGTGTCTGCACTAAGTTCGACCTCCCAGGAGTGGGGGACCACCAGGTTGCGTAAGGAGGGGTGAACCAGCTCAGGTCAGAAACGGAGCAGCTCAAAACTGCCATGCTGATCAGTAGTGAGATTGCGCCTGTGAATAGCCACTGCACTCCAGCCTGGGCAACATAGCGAGACCCCATCTCTAAAAAAAAGGAAAAATATTAAAAAATTTAAAAAAGAAGAAAAAAATAAAACATATACCACACTAAATAAAACATGCTTATATTTAATTTTAAAAGATATAGGAAAGTTATAAAAATAAAATAGTTACGTGTTGTCTTTTATGTTGCAGGGCTACTAAATAAGTAAAATATAAAACCTCTATCCCTTGAGTAGCTTCTCATTTATGGAGATAGAGAAGACCTATAGACAAAAGTGTTTGGGATCTAGGTATTACATACTAAAGTGTTGAATTATGCTGAATCAACAAATGAGAAGTACATAAGAAGCTAACCATCACAAAAGCAATACTTAGAAGAGGAGTATTAGAAAAAGGAGACCATTACGAACTAATATCATGAGGAAAAGCTACAGGGAGGAAGCTGAACTTAAACTTTGCCTAGAAATATAGTTGGTCCTCTCTCTCTGTTGGTCCCATATCCATGGATTCAAGCAGCTATAGATCAAAAATGTTTGGGGAAGAAAAGGTAAAGATTGTGTCTGTCCTTTTTTTTTAATCATTATTTCCTAAACAATACAGTCAAACAACTATTTATATGGCATTTACATTGCATTAGATAGTATAATTAATCTAGAGATGCTTTAAAGTATACCAGAGGATGTGCGTAGGTTCCTTGCAAATGCTACATTATTTTACTTAAGGGATTTGAGCATCCATGGGTTTTGGTATCTGTGGGGAGGTGATACAGAGGGTGGTCCTGAAACCGACTGCCTGTGGATACCAAGGGACAACTGTAATAGAGCATTACTTTCTTGGACTTTTATTTTTGAATTCTACTTTTTAAAGCACTTTTATCTTTGCAAAGACAGATCCGTGCTTTGAGAAATGAAGCAAAGCATTCTTTGCATTATGTTTTCTTTGCGACTTACCAGTATTTGCTAACCTGGGTACAGTTAAAAAATTATGAATGCTCATAGTAATATACATACACAATTTCTACATAATCTCACACAGTTCTCAGACCTCTAGTTAACTCATTAGGCCTTAATTTTATGTTATTTTCTTAAATTATTCTTAATCTGTAATGGAGACTTTGAACACATTAAGTTTGAAGAGGAGTAACAGTATATCATTTCTAGTATATTCTATAAATTACTACTGTGAAAATCATTTATCCAGAGTGTACTTTGGTAGCAGCCGTACTTTTCTGGCACAGTAATAGTTCCCTAGAATAATAATAATTTATTTTGAGTAAAGTGATACTGTGTGTCTGATCTCTCTTTACACATCAGGTAATGCTATAGAAAAGCCAACAGGTGGGTGGGCATTATCCCTTTTTTATACTTGTTCTTTGTTTTCCCTTAAAATTTAAAATTATGTAAATACACATAACCAAAAATTGACCGTTTTAACTATTTTAATGTGTACAATTCAATGACATTAAATACATGTACACTGTTGCACAACTGTCGCCACTGCCTGGTTCAGAAGTTTTTCATCTAGGGTTCAGTTAAGAAGGAACTTACGCCCAGTGTGCAGTCACTGCTGATTCTCTCCTGCCCTCATTCCCTAGCAACTGCAAGTCTACTTCCTGTTTCTGTGGATTTGCCTACTCTGGACATTTCATATAAATGGAATCACATAACATACTACCTTTTGAATCTGTCTTATTTTGCACAGCATAATGTTTTAGGGTTCATCTCTACTGTAGCATGACTCATTATTTTTATAGTTGAATAATATTCCATGTTGTGGATATGCCACATTGTGTTTATCCATTCAAATTGTCCAAATTGATGGATATTGCTATGAAATAAGAGCTAAAACTAAGAGCTAATAAAGAAGTTTTCATCTGACCACCTGTTTCCATTTCTTTGGTATATATACCAATACTTTTTTCTTGTCATTATTCCCTAAACAATACAGTGTAACAACCTTTTACATGGCCTTTACATTGTATTAGGTATTATAAGTAATCTAGAGATGCTTTAAAGTACACTAGAAGTGGAATTGCTGGGTCATCTTGTAATTTTGTTTAACTTCTTGAGGAAACCCCAAACTGTTTGCACAGTGGCTGTACGAGTTTGTACCCCTACCAGCAGTGTATAAGGGTTCTGGTTTTTCGCATCCTCACCATTTGTTACTTTTCCCTTTTTTGTTTTTTTAATTCTAGCCATCATAGTGTGGAGTGGTATCCCATGAGGTTTTGATTTTTATTTCCCTAATGACTAATGTCCTTGGGCATATTTTCATGTGCTTATTGGTCATTTACATATCTTCTTTGGAGAAATGTCTGTTTAAACCCTTTGCCCATTTTTGAATTAGGCTGTTTTGTTGTTATTGTTGTTGCTAAGTTTCGGACATCTTAATATATTTTGGATATTAATATCTTATCAGATATATATATATGATTTGCATATATATTTTCTGATAATGTAGGTTATTTTTTCTTTCTTGTTATAGTGGTGTTTGTACATAAGTTTTTAATTTTAATAAAATCCAATTTATCTAATTTATTTTTTGGTTACCTGTGCTTTTAGTGCCTTGCCCAAGAAATCCTTGCTAAATCTGATGCCATAAAGATTTTCCTCTAAGAGTTTTATAGTTTTAGTTCTTATGTTGAGGTATTTTGATCGGCTTTGAGATGATTTTTGTTTATGGTATTCTTTTATTTTTTTTGAGATGGAGTTTCACTCTTTTTGCCCAGGCTGGGGAGGAAGTAGGGATGGTTAGTTAACAGGTACTAAAAAATAGTGAGAAAGAACGAATAAGACCTAGTATTTGCTAGCACAACAGGATGGTTGTAGTAAAAAATAAAGTAATTGTACATTTTAAAATAACTAAGACTATAATCAGAGTGTTTGAAACACAAAGGATAAAATGCTTGAGGGGATGGATACCCCATTGATACTGATGTGGTTAGTATGCATTGCATGCCTGTATCAGAACTATCTCTTGTAACCCATAAATGTATGTACCTACTGTGTTCCCACAAAAATTAAGAAGAAAAATACATATTTTAAAATAATAAACTTGTCACTTGTAGTCCATTTGTGTTGCTATAAAGGGATATCTGAGACTGGGTAATGTATAAATTTATAAAGAAGAGAGGTTTATTTGGTTCATTGTTCTGCAGGCTGTACGAGAAGCATGACACTAGCATCTGCTTCTGGTGAGGGCATCAGTCTACTTCTACTAATGGTGGAAGGCAAAAGTGAGCCTGAGTGCAGAGATCACATGGCAAGAGGGGAAGAGGAGGAGGAGGAGGAAAAGAAGAAGGAAGGGAGGGAGGTGTTATGAGTGAGAACTTGCTGCCTTGAGAATGGCACCAAGCCATTCTTGAAGAATCTGTCCCCACAACCCAGACACCTTCCACTAGTCCCCATCACCAACAGTGAGAATCATATTTCCACATGAGACTTGGTGGGTACAAACAAACCATATCTAAACCACAGTACCACTGGAACAACTCCTATAAACAACTACTACTCAATTTGGGAGACTGAGGTGGGTGGATCACCTGAGGTCAGGAGTTCGAGACTAGCCGGACCAACATGGGGAAACCCTGTCTCTATTAAAAATAAGAAATTAGTCAGGTACGGTGGTGCCTGTAATTCCAGCTACTCGGGAGGCTGAGGCAGGAGAATTGCTTGAACCTAGGAGGCAGAGGTTGTGGGGAGCCAAGATAGTGCTATTGCACTCCAGCCTGGTCAACAAGAGCAAAACTCCATCTAAAAAAAAAAAAAAAAAAAACTACTACCATAAACAACTATTCTAAACTAAAGATGCAGGGTGTTATGCATACCAGTTTGCCCTAGTATGTGAAGCCAATGGAAACTTTCCAAGAAAGTACTTCTTAAGATCTGAAGGATGAATAGAAGTTAATCAGTCTAAGGGAGAAGAAAAAACCAATCAAAGTGGAAGCCCTGTGTTAAGTTGGAATTTGACAAGTATAAGGATCAGCTGGCATGATTAGTGTCAATAACTCTGAGAGGTGTATTGGGAATGCAAATTAGTACAATTGTTATGGAAAACAGTATGGAAGTTCCTCAAAAAATTAAAAACAGAATGATTATATGAGATCCATCAATCCTACTTGTGGGTATATATCCAGAAGCAATAAAGTCACTGTCCATGCACACTGTGTTCATTTCAGCATTATTCACAATAGCCAAGATATAGAAACAACCTAAGTTCTGCCCCTAGATGGATAAAGAAAATGTAGTGTGTGTATGACACACATATGCACAGTACAAGATTATTCATTAGGAAAGAAGGATATTGTTGCATCGAAAAGAAAATAAGGATAACATTCTATTTGTGGTAACATAGATGGACCTGGAGGACATTATGTTAAGTGAAATCAGGCACAGAAAGACAAATACCACATGATCTTACTTGTATGTAGAATCTTTCAAAGTTGAACTCATAGAAATAGAAGAGTAATTACCAAAGGTAGGTTGCAGGGGAGAAATGGCGATGTGTTGGTTAAAGGGTACAAACTTTTGGTTACAAGATGAATAAGTTCTGGAGACCTCATATACGTCCTGGTAACTATATGGTGTGAAGTGTTAGATACGTTAATTATCTCGATTGTGGTAATCATTTCACAATGTATACATATATCACAACATCACATTGTATGCCCTCAATATATATAATTTCTGTTTGTCTCTTATTCCCCAATAAAGTTGGGGGGAAAGAAATCTGAGAGATATGGTACAAAATGAGTCTGGAAGGGTGAAGTGGGGTCAGATTACCCATGGCCTTTTGTATAAAGTTTTAAGGAAATTGGTCTTCATCCTGCGGGCAATGAAAGCATATGAAGTGTTTTAAGCAAGTTGAGGGTGTGTTTGGAAAAATCTCATTCTTGTTGCTCTGTAAAGAATGATCGTGAGAAGGGAAGTGAGAAGGCAGGATAAATAAAGACTGATCAAATAAAGGTGATGGTAGCCTGAATTTGGGTAGTAGTGATGGCAGTGGTGATGACTATTGATAGGGACAAATGACAAATGTCACAAATATTTAGGATGTTAAATTGACAGGACTTTAAATTGGATATGGGGAATGGAAGAGTAAGATACTAAGAAGAGCTTCAAGGTCTGGCTGTTTTATAAGTGTTATAAGGTTATTGCTCTCTATTGAACTAGGATGGTTGTTATTGTTTATTGTATTTATTTGAGATGGAGAGATGAGGAAGGCATTTATGCATTCCCTTTGGACCTGCTTGAGTTTGATGAGCTGTTGAGTATGCATGTCTGGAGTTCAGAGGAAAGTTCCAAGTTGGAGAAATAAATTTGTGAGGTCCACCCACTCTTGACTATTTTAAAGTGAAGCACTGCTGTCCCCTGCCACCCACACTCCTGATCCTTCCTACTGTCTGTGTACAATTCAGTAGCATTTAGTGTGTTCACAATGTTGAATAGCCATCACCTGTATCTAATTCCAAAACCTTTCCATCACCAGCAAAGGAGACTCTGTAAGTCACTCCTCATTCCCGCCT